CCCAAGTGAATAAATGTGCTTTAGAGCACAAATATTTATTGATAAAAATTTTAATTTCTTTCCCCTTCATAAACAATTTTTCACTTTGTGCTTTAATCTTGCGTTTATTTTCGAACGATGTCGAACACGAAATTAATCAATAAGCTGATTAATGAACACTCGATAATCTCATAATTGCTTTCCTTCTTTGGCACTCCTGCACGTCGTACGCCTTTTCGGCGCCGCTGCTCCATTCTTTCGTCTTTACTCTGAGAGGGTGTGGGTGTGTGTTTTTTTCACTCGAGAACACAGCCTCTCACAATTTAATTAATCCTTCTAAATGCTCGTAAATAAATTAAAACCACCGTAAACGATGTCAACGCCAGGCGTCGACGGCGTGCACTTCGTTGAACAATCATAAAAAAAACAACACAGCGCTGCTTAAGTTTTATATTTCGCGAATCAATTTAAAATTCACACTTTTATAAATAAGCCGGTGACAACGACGCAACAAAAAAAATAAACAATTAATATAATAACACTTTTTATTCATGAACGAGTAAGTGAAAAATGTGCTCCACGAATGTAATTACATTTTTTATGTCATTCTGTGGTCGTGAATGAGGTGATGGTGCAAATAATGCGAAATTTCACTTTTGCTTTCGGCGGGTATGAAAAGCAACATAAATTGTGTCGCACTGTGCTCAGTGTCTTCTTCTGGTGCGTTCTTTATGCGTCGCATTATGTCAGAGAGACTCGAAGGAGGAGAGCAACATTGAATTGAGAGAATTCCACGCGTACAGCACGAGGAGTGCTCATTTCTATACTTGCCTTTTTTTGTATATTTATTTGCTCCATTTGGCACGCTTGGAATAACACTTAGGCAACCCATTCAGCGCGTGGGCACGCAAAGACGTCCATTTGCTTTTTTCCATGCGAAAAAAAAAGAACCTCCGAAGCGGTGTTAGAAATTGTGTTAATGGCTGGTACATTATGCTTAATTCTTATTTAATGTGGTTCAGCTTCAATTTCGCTCTTCTTATTTACATTTTCTTTTGTTTGATAACCCAAAACATGTTTAATTTATAATAAAATCTTGTTCGCCTTTTTCTTTCATTCTCTGGCGGTGAAATTTATTTTCAAGTTTGTTTTCGATTTTATGTTGTATACTAGATGTGATAGCTCCAACGAACGCTGCATATATTTTTATCAGTTATCCTTCCGTTGACACGCCATTGCTTTTTCTCTTCGTGTGCGCGCTTTTACCAAGAGCCAATGTCAATGTATCGCATATCGAATTGCGCTGCTGGCTGACACAGCGTCGCTTCACCTTTTGCTATCAAATCGCTTCTTTTAACCTGCGCGACACGATGTATCGTCTTGCGTGTAAGTAAATATAGCGAACGGGGAATTGAGACAACACGTAGGGATCTCAAACTATATTTCGTTCAGTTTTATGGTTGAATAATCTTTTAAAACTATACAATACATGCAATACATAAATACAAATACATTTAAATTTCATTGCAGGTTTTTTTGTGCCAGCATCTTTCAATTTTGACATTTTTACAAATCAGTAAATTGCAAAACCAGACTTTGTCATTATCAATGTATGAATCGAACAATTGCATTTCACTCAATTTTTCTCTCCCACTTTACAGTCGTTTGTTCCCGTCGAGGCATTTTTTTGCTCCAATAATAATAGAAAACGAGGTCCATTGGGAGGCGAGCGACGTCTTCGCATGTTTTTCGCCGACTCGCTTCACTTGGTAACCGCTCGATACGAACATTTTCTCAACGCCTCGCACGAGACGCGGCGACGGCGGAGTGGAGCGTAACGTGCATTAATATTTTATGAGTTAAGAGTGCTTTGATGTGGTTTTCGTATCCATCATAGACGCTTGCCTAGTCAGAGGCTAGGGCATGACGCCCGAGTCAATCGGATGCATTAAAATGCGATTGGCCCACGTGGCCCCGGTTTGTCTACAAAACGACATTGAAATATTCCATCACGTGTGTCAAGGACCCAAAGAGTCAATATTACCATAACCTCTATTAGGTACTATTGTCACAAACATATCAATTCTGTTTGGTTTTGTTATTCGACACCAGATGGTGTTAGTAGTGTCTGAAAATAACCTATTTGTGGACTGTAAACTTTTTATGATATTCATTAAAGCAACTAGAACTTGAATGTTCCAAGGGTGATCCTTAGATGATGCTGAGATGATTGTTTCCGTTAGTTGGTTTTGTGTTGTGGGGTGTGTGTGTGTGTGGGACGGTTAATGCCGGCAACTATGATGACTAGCACGATAACGACCGTGAGACCGGCTCGAGATGATAGTCGCCACGACGGAGGCGGCGCATTAAATGAGTTCATTACGTATTCAAAGCGACAACACAGCGTCTTGTGTTGTTGCGCTCGCGGCGCTTGGACCGTAACGCGTGGCGATGGAGGCGGCGGCAGGAAAGGACGGCAGGTCTCGCGGCTTTCTCAAACATCAACTTCGCCAATTGCATTATTAATTTACAAAGCGACCGGGCGCTCGGTGCATGACTGCATTAATGGTAATCGTCTTTGGCGGCGGTGGCGGCTGTGGTGGCGGCACGGCATTGCGCAAAGTTTCACTAGACCGGCAATTAACATCAAATTGATTACGACATTCAGATCATTACAAAACAAAAGTTTTGGTTTGAAAACGCTCCAACTTCAAATAGGTAACGGCAATATTATTAAATTATGCAACCAATTATACACGCAGCAAAAAATTCTATCATTCCGATCATGTAGAGTGAAAAATTGCATGAATATTCATTCCAACAGTTGCCACTCTGTGCAGCACGATTTTGCAAACCAAATTTCTTTTTATTGAAATTCAATTTTATACACTGCACTTATGTACGACTAGAAATCTTTACATACACAGTGTCCGCGTTGAAAAAATAAAATATTTATTCACATATGTGCATGCGACATGTAAAATTTGTAATTCAAATCAATCGGTATGAATAGATTTCAATGTTGATTTGCTTGCCGGAAAACAGGAAACTGTCTCGCATGTACGCGTGAACGCGTGTTAGGAGAGACACGCAACGAAATTAATGAGCGGCTGTCGTAGCCGCCGACGGGCACATCGACGCCGTTCGCAAATTAACTGACGATTGAGACGGAAAACCGGTTGCGGGCGTTTGCAGACATATTGCATGGCATTCGTTGGATGTCACTTCGACATTTCGAAGCTGAAAACTATTTTAATACTCGGAAACTGTAAACATCTTTGTTGTTGTCGTTATCAACCGCTAGTGACTTATAGATGGCGCTAGTTTATTAATTAAAGTAGTAGATATGAATTATTGGTTTTTATAATTTAATTATTTTTATATTTTATTAACTTTTGCTTTGAATTGATAAGATGTTAAATAATCGCCTCCTTCCACGCACCGCAGGAAACTGTCTCGCCCTTCTTGCAGCATCCCTAATAGCTTTTCAATTATTGATCGGCGGCTTCTTGATGAATTCAACACCGAATTCAATTGGCTTGATTAAATGCCGCGTTCTCCTTCCTCTCAACGGTGTCCCGGAGGCGGCTGCTTCCTCTTTCTCCGCGCGACCACCCTCGGAAAGGAAGACGGTACAGATTCCTTTCCGCAGGACGAGGATCGCGTACTGTGTTTCTGCTTCTTTGAACATTTGCCGATGCGCCGCATTCGCAATTTGCTGCTAATAAATTCATCATTCGAAATTAAAAAAATTAAAACACGGAATTCCACTTTCTTTCTTCCATCGTCGCGTGCAATCACTGAAGCAAAAATAAAAACGCTGGAAAAGTTTCAGGCGTAATAAATTGACCGTAGCATCGAGAATTTTAAACGAGTCGTAATTTATTTCAAGTTAAACAAACAACGCGGCCTGATAATAGTCTTTGATATTGTTTTGTTTTTATGCCTTGTGTGCATCTTGGGGACTTCGTTTGTTTTGATGCTTGCGATATCGGAACATTATTTCGCAAATAAACTGAATTTCCACGGCGATTTCTTCTTTTGCGACGGTGTTTAAAGGCACGTGAAAGACGTGAAGACCCGCGCTGCGAGGACAGCTTTGTGCCGTTTGTCCTGTTTGTCCTGTCGGCAAGATAAAGAACTGTGTGGAGGAGTCGTCCTTTCGTCACCGCACGCCCAAGTAGTCCATTTCCTTTCGGGGCTTTTTGATGTTTGCCGACGTCGTCGTCGCTCACAAGCGCAAAGATTGGAAAAATAGACTTCTACCTTTGGACGATGGCATTTTACCGACGTACCTGGGACTTACACACACAAACATACATAACCGCACTTTGAGGACGTCCTCAAGAAACGAAACGAGTTTATTCAAAAGGACGATTTAAAAATCTAAAATTAAATTTTCCATGAATGTTACTTTAAATTAAGCCTAAGACTATTAAGCAATAGATGGTGTTGGTAGTAAAATTACGATAGTAAATGTCTTACTCACGTATTCTTTGTACTGTCACAGTAATTCCGTTGCACTATCGCGCTATAATCATTGGCACGATAGTAATTTAGTGTCGCGTCTCGTCTCCAGCCGTCGTGCTGGGCGAGTACTGTATGTACGGTCTGTATCGCAGGCACCGGCGCTCGAAATTGGGTTTCGGCGAGCGACAATGGCCAACGAGGCTGCGAAACGGCAGTGCGGACGACATGATAAAGGTCACTTCCGGTTCTGCTCGCTGGCACTCTCGGCCCATTTCGGGCATATCTCGTTGTGCACATCTTGATTGACGGCAATCCCTTCATGATTTAATTACTGTTCCTTTCTCTAATGCTGAGACATTGCGAATGTACCAGTTTTCAAAATTACTGTCATAAATAATAATTATTAAATAATTCAATTTGATTTTAGGAAACATTTACGTGGAAATTGTTATTATTGTTTTATTATGGTACTTATCAACGTAAATAGTGAATAAATCGCAATGATTGCTTGGTAATTGAAATTAACTGCAGCGTTTCGCATTGTTTTCCAGATAACAATGCGATAAGTGATGGTGGCGCGTGGAAATTGCTGCAGCTCTTCGTGCTTTTCATGCGCTTCGTGAATGCGACGAAAAGGCGTCGTTAATGCAATTGATTGGTAAGTGAACTTTTTTTTAACTTTCGAGTATTATTTTTTATAAACAAGAAAATGAGTTGTTATTTTTGCTAGTGAATATCAATATGTTCCATTTGGCACGCGTGCATCAGCATATGCTAACCACCATGACCTATTATCCTCTGACAAAGTGGAAACGTGGAAAATGTAAAAAATGTGAAAAATATGCGAAATGAATAAAAGCTTCTTTAGAAACGCCTCATAATAACGCGAAATCTAAAAATATTCCATATTCTCGGGTCGTCGTTGGAAGTGTTCTGCCTTAAAGAAGGAGAAAGGACCTCAACTTGGGGAAAGTTGAAATTTCAGCTATAATGTCCCGCAGAATACTTAAAAGCACTGGCGTGGGACTTGCAAAAATGAAGACAACTTAAAAATAACACAATTACTAAACAAAATTCAAAAAATACTTCTGAAACTTCAAAAATTACAATTATTTAATTTTCCTTAAATTTTTTACAAAATCTATATTTTAATCAGAAAAATATTGCTTCATTTTGTGTATCACCCAGTATAATTTACTTTCAACAGATTTACATTTACAAATTGCCAAAATTGCACGACGCGTACGCGCGGAACGAGAGCAAGACAGGTGCATCCGCCGAGAGGCGTTTTTTGAAAGATTGGAGGCGGCGGATGCGACGGGGGTTAGCGAAACTGGCAAAACCCGTCGAGAGTGGCCCATTTTAAAATATAACACGATCCTCAATCGTTTTCTTTTATTCACTTTCCATTCTATTCATTTCATTCACTCGAGGAGGGTGTTAGCAACGTGAGGGCTGCCACTTCGTACCACCTCAATAATTTCTATCATTCATTCGTTTATTCATCCAAATCAATACACTTACAACGCAAAAATAAAATAAAAATGAATACATGTAGTTAGGTTTGGTTATGAGACACTTAACATAACCTCAATTCCAGCTACTGCATTGTTCATACGTGCGTAACAAGATAATTTGCTGGATTTACCATGACATGATAATAGAACTTGCTGAGTGCTCGAGGTAGATGTGGTGCGTTATAATATTTTTTCGCGTTTTAGTGCCTCCTAGGGGCTCATGCAATATGTCGTTAGTGTACTGCGAAGGTGAACGATGTCGTGTTTCGTGCATTCTATTTTTTTTTTTGTGCGTCATTCCGCACTTCAATTCTGTTTCGCATTTGGTTCGTTACGTTTGCCGGTAGCTGAAATTCAAGAGTAACCTTTTAGAGTTTTAGTTCACAAAATCCAAGATGGCTGGATATCGTAAACGTCAAGAATTTTCCGCGATGTTGAAAAAGGGCAATTTACTTGAGTGACAGGTGCGATGACCAAACTTAAATTTGCGCATGAATGATTTTTTGCCTTCGATATCACTTTCGCTGCTTTCCTTTGGTGAAACGTAAAGATTTTTTTCTCCTTCGGACATCTTGCCAATTGATATTTTGATACGTCGAGTGCAATAACCTGCCTCAGTTGCTACGGGGTGTATTCGCCCTAGTGAACACGTTTCAATTTATTCAAGCGCAACACAATTTTTATGATCCACTGCTTCGAAACTATCGCTATAGATGTCTTTTTAACAAAAGTAGTACGTTTTTTTTATAATTTACAATTTGTGCGATAATTAATTGATATGTAACTTGTGCGTAAGGTAAATATATAAAATTCACCTTATATTTTATTCTGGCTGTATGAGTGTCTGCTATTTTCGTTTGGGATGCCTTTATTTTGCTTGGCGCAAAGGGCGGTTTCGCGCTCATTTAATTATTTCACATCAAAGGCGCGAGGCGTCTTTGCTGGCCGACACTGCGACTGTTTTAATTATACTCGAGTGGCTCGAGCGAGGCGTGCGCTTTTTTAATATCGTCCATGGCCGCCATATTGTCACCATGCTTTTACTCGTTTGACATGCACGACGGCTTAGGGCGAAACACAAGAATCGGCCTTTTTGAACAATCGTTGAACGCGAGTAGATGTGTACGGTCACAAGAGGTGTTTGTAATGAAGGCAAAACGTAATCCAACACTAATGTATGCGTAAAAGTGCTTGCAAAAACACGTTTATTGTAATTCGCGTAATATTCATCTTCGCATTAAAATATTTATAATACCAAATGTGTATTTACACTAGGCAACCCAAAATACACCATAATATATGTAGTGTAGTATATGCCTCAATTAATTATAGACTAAATAAACTCAGGGAGAACATTAAATGGCCAAAATGTTAAATGAGAATCTTCAAAACTCATTTGTAAACTGATCAGAAGAAGTTTCGTTTTAGTAGTTTATATGTATGTGTTTTTCGACGAATGCTGCATGTGTGGAATGATGAAGCGCTGCCCAACTCGTCGGCGTAAATTGCAATGATAGAAAACAGAAAGCTAAGAAACAGCGACGCTGGCCAAGTCGAAAATGTGCACACGATGTTGCATCGTAAGTCGCGAGCCTGAGTAGCCGAGTGACCGACTCGCCGCCCCCCGGATTGCGACGCGGGCGGCATTACAAGACGAATTGCTCCATTACATCCCATACGACCAGTGCATCGTGCGGATTACGTGCCATTTACTCTAAACTCATACTGGTTGTCGTCGCAGCAAACGCAATTAGAAACATTTTATTTAATTGAATCCTGCGTCAAGAAAAATTATTAGTTTTATCTTCAGCAATTTTTAACTTTCCTCGCTGAAAATTGTTTTCCTACTTTATTACACATTAACTAGATATAATAAATAAAAATAAAAGTAAAACTTGTCATCCATTATGATTATCTCGCTGTAGTTTGACACTCAAGCAAAACTTCTAACTAACTTATATTTGGGACGTGTTGTTGTCGAAAATAAAGGATAAACACACACGGCAATCTTTTTTTTATCGACGCTGCTTTTGTTTTGATGCGGCGTTAACGACAAAACGACCCAGCGACAAAACAAAAGAAACGAGTGAGGTTAGGTTGAGCGTGCGCAAATTTTTATTGCGCGGTGTGCGCGTAATTATATAGCCGAGGCAATTTTCGAAATGACAGTAATGGGTGTCGTAAAATAAAAAGGAATATACGCGAAGCACGACGCGGTAGTGAGTAAAATAGAGTGAAGTGGAAGTTGAGCTGGTAGTAGATGGAAAAGTGGGTGATATCGGAGGACAAACACGAAATACAAGACACGCTTAAGTATCATGCGACTATCAAGGACTATCAAGAAAATTGCTCACAAAACAAATAAAAACTTGTGCTCAAAATTTTATTACAATTAGCGCCCAAGAGTTTCACTTTCACTTTAACTTTACAATTACCTTTTATTATGAACTATCCTGTATATTTTTTAATACCTAATTTACAACGCGGATTTTTCCTGTTGTAAAAACCACTTCGTTTAGTATCGTATGCGAATGATCATTTGGTTTTTATTTCTTCGGCGTTTTTCAAAATATTTTCATATTTTTTCTGTTTTCATGGACACATGAGCATCAAGGTCCATAAAGCGACTTTGCACGAATGCCAACAAAGCGTTTTTTATGCGGCGCGCGACTCAAAGGGACGCTTGCGAGACGCGCGGTGACAGAAAACCTCTTGAGAAGATTTATTTCGCATTAAAAACAGTGTATCACAAGAAATTACCTCTTAAAATGGTAATTTTTATTTTTCGTATATTAAAAAGTTCCAATTTCGTAATTTATTACTGTTATACTTCGAATGGATCACAATGTAATACAAAGTTCTTCAAAGTTTCAGTTAATAGTTAAGAAATTTTGCGGTGTCACTCTGTAGGTATGTTAGAAAGTTTTATAAGCGTATAAATAGCGTTACTCGGCGATCGTAAAATTAACGACACTCGCACACAATTTTCCCATTTTTGCAACGTGCGCCGACGAATATTAGTTACATCCATTTAAACTACCCCTATGTTCTTGGTCGCGACGAGATGAAAATAATGTGGCTCGTAAAATAATGTGTACGTAATGTATTGGCACTCGTTCGCTGGCTAAACGTTGCATATTTCAAATATGACGTTCCCACAAAGCGCCTTGTTACGATTATGCTCAAATTTATAGACTAAACGAGGTGGATGAATCTTGGAGTTATCCTTTGAAGGATAACAGAATATAAAACATGAAAGTTACGTTTATTTTGAGGTATAACTTTAATATTTTGTAGAATTACAGTAAAATCGTAAATATTAATTTTTAGGTTATGGTGCAATTTGTTACGCAACACGACGGATCTGTTCTTCTTGCTTTTCTAGTGATTTCTTTCCATTTCCAAGCCGCAAGCATTCCGAATGACGCACACCACTCGTTTCCACCTTATTAGGACGAAACCTTTTTCGGACGAAGGCAAACAGACACACGTCCAATATGGCTAAACCCAAAATAATCAAACCATTTTCTTTTAACAAGACGGATCGACCGATTCGTAAAATACAAGGCCCCAAGTGGGCGAAAGGGTGGAAAAACCAACAGAAGCAATGGTGAACCAAACCGAAAGAACTGAAACCTTCAAATGTCAATGGGGAAAACTAATAGCGTTAAATAAATAGAAATTATTCATTGCGGTGTTGTTTTAAAAGCTTTCAGAAACGCAAAAATAAATTCCACGCACTATAAATAAAACCTGTTTGTAATAATTTAAGTTGAAGACGTTTACTGTTTTATAGAATATTTGAGGTTAAGTATGTCCTGTTTAATGTATGATTATTGGCTTGAAAGAAGATGCGCGCAGCGAAAAGAAACTTGAAGAAACTGTTAACTCGATGCCTGTGCACCATAAGCAGAATATATTGTAACCAAGATTTAGTGTTGTTTTTGAACAAAAGACCATAACACGCTTGTGCGGGGCGAATCCGCAGAAAAACAGTTATAAATAGACGACAGTCATTGATATTTATCGTCCGTTAGTCCGCTTAAGAATCTGATTTACTATTGCGCTAAATTGTTGATAGGCAATTTTCGCAAATTATTATTTATTGCGTTTTAAGCACTGTCGGACGAGTGGAGACAAC